TATCAACAAATGTGATCATTGTTTGATTTCTAGTAGCTCTCCTACTTCCAAATCGCTTCTAAACCACAACTTTGAAGGGCCCAAAAGTTGGATTTTCGATAGTGTTTTTGTCTCTTTCCGTTATGAGAGGATTACTGTGAGAAAATTGCATAGTGTTTGGTTGTGGCGCGAAGCTATATATTGAGTTTGGTTGAGCCAAAAATAGTTATAACAATATCTGGAGTGCTGAACCCTTCTATGCCAGCGGTTTTGTATCGAAGTTACGGCGTCTTACAGCAGCCTCGAAGCGTTCTGTTATATATTCCAAAACGACAACACTAAGGAACGGTGGCTTAAATTGGACTCCACAATCGTTACTGTACAGCAGGGCAATGCATATATGACCGCACGGTGGAATAGGTGATTGCGCAGAAGTGGAAGGTACGCCATTGAGCGTTCTGACTGCAATGCGCCATACATAGAAAAAAGTGTTTAGCGTTTGCATTAAAGAAACACTGGCAAGTAAGCGTAAGAGCTTTGCCTCATCGATTAGCAGGAACGAAATGTCCAGCGAAGAGTACTTCATTGTCAGTATAATATGTTGACTTTTGAAAATGAGATCTCAGCTAAGAAAGAAAAGGAAGCAAAAATTTTACATTTTGCAATGAATTCAGAATCAAATAGTTGATATATGAGGAATTTTTATCCATAACAGCCAACTTTTCGGTTTGTATTGTTGTGCCAGCTATGGTTTGTAGGTCCACTTGATGGGCAATCTACAATATGGCTCATTCTCAAGACGCTCTGACGTAGACTTCTCTCGCATAGCGGTGATTTTCGGTTCCATCTGTTGTTTTGACAATTTCTGTACAGCAAGATTGGAGAAGCTGAAAACAGGCAAAATAAGAGGAGAGAATCAAGGAAAAGACACAGCTCAAATTTTTATCAATCAAGGATTTTGTGGAGGGCTAGGCGTTGATATGTTAGGTATTTAAGACTAAATATTTCATCTAAGAAATCTGTATAACGCAGATATATGACAGTTCTTGTTCTGTGTTTCCTATTTGCTCTGCATGTTTGCTTTATTCCCGTTACACCTTGCTTGTATTTGTCAGTTGAGAGAAAATTGATTCAACAATTAATACGTTCTAAATTCTTAACCCAGCAGTAATGCCTTCAATCGCTTGCTGTCATTCTTTATTGTAGCTCTAAGATCGACCAAGGAAAAAGATCAAGACCTCAAGATACTCATTGTAAAACGGTTGTAGTGCAACAACCACACACTAATCTATGTGATACAGTTGTATTGTACATATCATAATGCGAAGTAGACAGCTCCGATTACAAGTAAATTCATAGACTTGAATGCACTTTATATAAATAAAACGACATATACTTCTTCTTAGTTCTATACCATATATGTTAACGAGTCAAACACACAGGTGCAGGTACAAGAACTTGTTGCGGTAGAGAGCCGTAAGGTGCATTCACAGGCACTAGATAGGCAGCAGGATAGTTTGGAGTTTGTGATGTGTCAGGAGCTTCACCGTCCATCTGCACTGTAGGCATGCTGGTGACAGGAGTTGTACTGTAAACGATGGGATGCGGTGTTTGAGCAGGATAAGCAGGAGTCATGACTAGAACTTGTCCTAAAATGTGCTCATCTCATCACACTATAATCGTTTCTTTGATAGAAGATTACATGCTTAATACTCATAAAATCAGGTTGTTACATGATTTCTCTTAGCACTCTGTACGCTCATTCTCGCCCTTCCTGATATTCCTATTCCCCTTTTTGACCACATCATATGAATGACTTGAAAGCTGTTTAATTGCTTTACAAAATCTCTTTTTTTT